AACTAAAGCGGTATTCACAACTGGAGTGGCTTTTTTGCCTTAAGAAGGTAAATTAACACACAAAAAAAGGTTTGACACGAATTAATAAATTCTCTTCTTTTTTCTGTGATAACATCAAAATACTTTTGTTACTATTTATCTGCGTACAATCATTTACAATTGATAGGTTTAAGGAACAAAGATAAATAATTTAACGTGAAACATTTGCACAGTTAAATTATTTAGGAATATAATAAACTTCCTTGTGTAATGACTTTCTATTTGATATCCTTTATGACCTAAAAAAAAGCTCTTTCTTAAAAATATGTTACTTGTCATACTATACTGATAAGGTATAAATTACGACTAGAATATACGTCGTGAGTTATATATTATTAAAAGTGGTAAAAAAACCGATAAAATAATAACAATCCGCATGACAAAGTAAATGCTTTTAGTTCGGTTAACGCATGTTTTTTTTAAAAATTTATTCGTCTGAGTTAACAAATAATGCCTTGGTTGTTCAATTTGTCTACTTATTTAACGATCTACTTATCTAACGTGACTTAAGCTTGTTCTCCATTTAGAACTTTTTGCGCTTTGAAGGAGCGGAAAAGTTCTTTGAGCATGCGCAAAAAGTTCTGATTGGTGAACGGGCTTAAAAAAACTGTTTGCGTATGCTCAAAGAACTTTTCCGCTTTTCCAAAGCGCAAAAAGTTCTGAATGGAGAACGGGCTTTACTACGTTAAATATCCGTAAACTAACGCATGCGCAGAGTATTATTTTTTCTAATTTAACGATGTACTTATGTAACGTGACAACGGCATGGACATTTAGAAATCACTTTAAGTTTTTTTTTTTCCATTCTTGCTTTCCTGTTGCTGTTATTGTAATACATAAAGCTGTATTATATAAATACCAGTTATTGGATATGCATATAGCTTGGTGATGATACCAGCAATCCAATTGTTGTTACTGGAAATGCAAACAGCTTGGTGATGATACCAGCAATCCAATTGTTGTTATTGGAAATGCATATAGCTTGGTCATGATACCAGCAATCCAATTGTTGTTATCGGAAATGCATATAGCTTGGTCATGATACCAGCAATGCAGTTGTTGTTATTGGAAATGCATATAGCTTGGTGATAAAACCAGCAATCCAATTGTTGTTACTGGAAATGCACATAACTAATTTTTTTAAATAGCACTTGTAAGTTTTTTTTTTAATATTTTATCTATATTTGAAGTGTTATTCTCAAGTGCTTAATACATAGCGAATAGAAATGAAAGAGGGTGAGTAAATATTAGTTTAAATGAAAGAGGTGGAAAATATTTTACAAAACCCAACAGGGGTTGTATTTCTTTTCAGTTCCATTAAATGGAAGGTAGATTGTTGCATTGAAGTTTCATAACTGTTGTAATAATTTCAATTGGATTTAATATGCAAGTTATATCGTAAGCTAGTTTTAGCTAAAAATTTTAATCAGTTTAGATTTAAGGATGCAGTTAATTTGTTTTTACTAAGTCAAAATTAATTATTACCGTCGCATAAATATAGTCAGTGATGGTGAAATATAAAATAAAAAAAGTTAAAAAACGTCCGGTCTTGAGTATTAAGCATCTGAGTCTATACTTATATGGACAGCATAATCGACTTAAGTTTATAGCATGTTCGTTTATACCTGCTACCTGTTTACGGTATAAACGAACATGCAATGCAGAAAAGCATTTAAGAAGTTTGAATTCCTTAGGAAATAAAACGGTTTTATAAAACTTACCCAAATGGGTTTGTACCACGGATCTATTGTTTCTTAGGTAGCGCGTTTGTGCAAGTCATAAGGTTCCCTCGAATGTTTTTTTTTATGGCCTAGGTAACCCATCGCAAACAAAATACAAATTGTTTAAGGTGGTAGTATACTGTTAAAAAAAATCTTCATTGTATGTGTTTTTGTTAGTTAGCGGCAATCCATAAACGATGGAAGTAACTAGAGGAGGTTGTGAAAAGTTTAATAATAAGGGAGAGGGGTGTTGAAACCACAATAACGTCAATTTAAATTTTTTTTAGAAGATTTATTTACGCCATATTAGCAGATTTTTATATAATTTTTAAAATTTTCGAAAACTTTATTATCATCGGACACGCAGTTTACGGGGGCACTACCTCATTAACAAAAAAAAAAATCTTTATTTTTGATAGTAAAATAATTTTTTCTATATATTAAGTAAATTATAAATGAAACTAAAATTTAAAAAAAAAATTAAGGGTTGCCCTGAAGGTCTAATTTTTAAGGGGTAAAAACTTAAAAATTGTCCATTATTGTGGTAAAAGTATTTCAAATACTTTTATAGTCAAAGTATTTCAGAATAAAATTTTGCATATAACTAGCTTAATGTTAGAGGTATGCAATGAATCTCAAAAACTTATAACTTACTTATTCCTTAGGGTCGTGCTTAATTTTTTTTAACTCATCATAATGACCGAAAAATCGTTATATTTTATTTTTAACTTGTACATTAATATTATTTTGAGGTTCATGTGCAATGAACTTGATGCAAAATCAACAAACTGTCCAAATAAGATAAGTTTTGTTCAATCCATTTTTGAAATATTCTTGTCACAGTAAAGCAAAGTTGGTATAATATTGATATCTCATAAAAACTCTAACAGAGGTGTTTTTAAGGGAAGGGTGGTGGTGTTATTACCCGTCAAAGATTGTGATTTTCAAGTTAAAGTCCTTATTTTTACAAACTTCGTCGGTTAGTTGGCTTTTTGACATATTTCAGTCGGGTAAATTTTCGTTTTGAGGTCCTTTTTTTTTGTTATTTTATTGTTGTTGTTGTTTTTTTAAGGAGCCAGTCTGTACTTTTTAGGGATTTACCCCTCCCTCATTTTATTCGTAGAATCGCCTCTGGTCTCTTATACAGTATTGAACAAATTATCAGAATTTTTTGTTTAGGAACCACATATGAGATTTAAAACAGTTATTGCATCATATATTATACACTTAAACATATCAGATGTTGAAGCAGTGCCGGATCAAGAGGGAGGGGGGAGCTAGGGGAACTATAGCCCCGGGTCCCGCAAATTTAAGGGCCCCAAAAAATTTTAGAGGACCTTTTTTTTTTTTTTTTAGTCGTATGGAAAAAAGCTAATGTAACACCACTGTTTAAAAATGGAAGTAGACTCGACCCAGGCAATTACCGGCCTATATCCTTAACATCAGTTGTATGTAAAGTGATGGAGAAAATATTACGTGACACTATGGTCAATCATTTAGTCGAACATAGCCTTATTTCAAAAAATCAACATGGTTTTGTCAATAAAAAAGCTTGTGTGACTAATTTGTTGGAGTCGATTGACATGATGTCAAAAGCATTATCTGACAAGATATCTATGGACGTAGCTTTTATAGATTTCAGTAAAGCATTCGATATGGTTCCCCACAAGAGACTAATTTACAAACTTGAGGCATATGGTTTTACTGGAAATCTCCTGAATTGGATAAAATCGTTTTTACACCAGCGTTTTCAACGAATCGTGATGGGCGATTATGTTTCCTCGTGGCTTGAGGTATTTAGTGGCGTCCCTCAAGGATCCGTATTAGGTCCAATACTTTTTATCATTTTTGTGAACGATATATCCGATATTGTTAACCATCCATGTAAAATGTATGCTGATGACACTAAACTGCTGGCCCGTTTAGACCACCCATTAGCTTCACAAATGCTTCAAACTGATATCTACAACATAGCCGATTGGTGTAATACCTGGAAAATGAAACTTAATCTCGATAAATGTAAAATCATGCACATAGGTAAAAAAAACAACTTTTATGTATACTTAATGCCAGCTAATAACAATAACAGTGTCGAACTTGCATCAACTTTAGTCGAACGTGATTTAGGCATCATGATTACACCAGACTTAAAATGGCATAACAATTCAACTTTTGCCACCAATAAAGCTAACCGTGTATTAGGCATGTTGTATCGTACTTTCAGTCACATGACTCCGCAACTACTTAAAATTCTATATACAACTTTTGTACGACCTCATCTGGAATTTGCGGTAGCAGCCAGCAATCCATCATCAAGAATAGATATTGACAAAATCGAGAAAGTACAAAGAAGAGCTACCCGTTTAGTACCTTCGTAACGTCATATGTCATACAAAGATCGTCTGAATATACTGAACTTAACGTCCTTAGAAACCCGTCGCATTAGGGGAGATCTGATACAGGCCTATAAAATTATTAACAATATAGACATTGTCTCATGGAGTGAACCCCATGTCCTTCGTGTTGGGCAGTCAAATAAAATAAAAATTAGAGGACATCATCTAAAAATGACTAGAGAATATGTTAAAAATTGTGAGCAAAGGCACCAGTTTTTTACTAATCGAATAGTGAATCATTGGAATGCATTGCCGTCAGAAGTTGTATGCGCTTCATCAGTTAACAGTTTCAAGGCTAAGCTTGATGCAGAAATTTCAAATAATCCGCATAAGTATTGAGATTATAACTGAAAAAAAAAAAAAAAAAAAAAAAAAAAAAAAAAAACAATAAAGGAAAAACAATAAAGTACAAACTTATACTTTATACTATATATCTTATTGTAAATTTTTATATATATATTGATATGAATAAAATTAATGTATGAAGTAGATAAGGCTGCCAAAACCTGTAGGTTATACAGGGAAACCTGTTGCAGCAATTTCTCTACTACTACTACTACTACTACTTTTTAGGCTCTGGCCCATAAAAAGGCCTCCAAAAAAAAGAATGTATTTCTAATACGTTCTATCAGAACTGATTCATTGGTTATTGGCACTTCATGGTTTTTAATCTTGAGTTGATCCCAAATTGACTCTATAGGATTCATGTCAGGAGAATTCCCTGGCCATGGGTGTACCTCAATGTCATCCGACGGTACACCTTGCTTGCGATTACTTGATCAAGACCGTCGTATGGTCTAGAAAAAGCAAATTTAACATCAACTTTTAGATACAAAAGTAAAATTTAAGACAAAACTGAATGCATATCCGATCCCAGGTTTAAATTTTATATTTTTTACACTGATTTCCTGGTTTTGAGGATTGATTAATCTGAAAACAACGTTTTTACCTCTGATTTCTAATAATTTGTTAATATATTAACATTTATTATTAATAATAAATACTCCAAAATCTGCGCCAAATCATATTCGTAGTGGTTGCGCGACCACTATTTTATTAATTACCAAGTGTGTATATTAGTGAGTTATACGTTTTGAATTTAAAGAATAAATGCAATTTAAAATACTTTTTCAACTTAAAAAAAATAACGTTTAAACTTTGGCTTAACTGATATTAACGAATTTTAAGTATTTACATAATTTTGTTGCAAATCAAAACAATGTATTTTAATATATTATTTCGTTTTGATATGCAACAAAATTATGTAAGTATACGTATTATGTAAGTAAATTATGTATTATGTAAGTAAATTATGTAATTATGTAGTATATGTATAATACAATATATGACAGTGTAAATAAGCAATGCCTGTTAATAATAAACATTTTGTTGTATATCAAAATAAAGAAGTTTTATTAATTAATTCGTTTTGATATGCAACAAAACTATGTAAGTATACAATCAATCAATCAATTAATATATTTCCACTTAATAAATGCATATATATATATATATATATATATATATATATATATATATATATATATATATATATATATATATATATATATATATATATATATATATATATATATATATATATATATATATATATATATATATATATATATATATATATATATATATATATATATATATATATATACAATAGTGAGGGACATTTACAAACAGTCAAAAACTGATGATGCGTAAAGACCTACGATGATATAAAACAATTATTGTAAAATTATACAGTTGGGTCATTCCATGCCAAGTGGTGCAAAGGTCCCTTATGGACCATCTCAGATTTTATTGAAATTTTTTGATTTTGTACATATATATGTGAAAAGCATGTTTTAAAAATTTTAGATCAATATATAATATGGTTCTTGAGAAAACGCTATTTAAGTGGCTATTATGCATAAAATTTCACTCTACAAGAAAAAAGTTTTTTTTTGTCATTTTTATCAGCCAACAACTTTTGAACAAATTAGTTTCATGCTGCAGTTATTATTAGTTAGCAAGTGTGCTGTGGATACATTAGAAAACAAAAAAAACTTCAGTTCTGGCATCTTAACTTTTTCCATAATGGCGGTCTAAAGCTGAGATTTTTGTTTTTTAAAATATTTTTTTTTGTGATTTTAATGATCTTTATCTTGAAAACTAGTTAAAAGATTAATAAAAATCAAATTGCCTGCTAATCTACAAGTGGTGGATAAACATTTTTAAAAAAATCAGTTGATTAAAGAGCTGCATTTAAAAGTTATAGGTCTCCAAAATGAGTCAGATCGAGATTTTCGTAAAATTGATCTGTGATGCAAAGCATCTGTTACCTAAGATGGCACTTTTTTTTTTTCATAAAAATTTTAATACGCATTAATTAAAGACTGTTAATTAATAAAAACCACAAAAATTAATGGGCGCTTATTTATAACCCCAAAAGGTAGTCTCAAAAAGTCAGGTAAATTTTCCATAAAGTTCTGAAATTGACATAATAAATAAATGCATTGAATTATATAATGTTATTTATTATGAAATATCAATTAAAAAATATCAATGTTTATAGCCTTATAATCCCTTTAGATAAAGAACTTTTAAATCCCAATAGATAAAGTCCCCTCCCCTCTGTCCCCTCCCCTATTTAAAATACAATATTTTTTTTAATGAAAAACAAACAAAATGTTTTTAAGAAAATAAACAAAATTAATAAAATTTACAAAAAGTTAAATTTCTCAAATAATAAAATAATCTCATTGATTTCTTTTAAGTCAATACTATAAAATCTTCCACTGTTTGACTGGACTTTAAGAGATTGCACTTTGCATAAAATATGCATCAGAGGTACCCAACAAAGATCATCTCTGCATGGCCACGTGAACTTGTTACATAAAGACTTTTTCATGAATTTCATATTAAGATCTTGATGCTCTTCTGAAATACTAAGAATATTTCCTAAATACCATTGAGCATCGTAAACGCAGGCCACATATTCTCCTGGTGAGTAACTTGAAATTTTAATAAAAATTCTGCAAGTAGAAAAATCCACATTAGTGCAAATAATATCAAATGAGACTCTTCTTATTTTTATTGAGGTAAGTGACATTGGGATAAAACTGTGGCGGTTTCGTGTCCCAGGTATTGTAGAACAAGAACGATATATCTCTCTTCCAAATTGAAGTTTGTAGTAAGTGTTTTTATTGAAACTTTGTCAACAAAAAAAAAAGATATTCCTTTGACGTGTTAAACATTTGTGCTGTGCTGTACATTTTGCTTGGTGTGTCAATAGGATCGTTTAGTGATTGTAGACTGGCTTGTGCAACAAGACGATTCACTGTTCCACCAACACCATCACAAGGGCTTTTACCATGCAATGTTGCAAAAAAGTGCCACTCTGCAGTCATGTCAAAATCGTGTTTATGGTAGCATAAGTTGATAAGATTTTTGTAATTTTTATATTGTGATGCAGCTCCATCACTAAAATAGATAATGTGTTCAAATGTTTATAATTGTTTATGTTTATCAATAACATTACCGATAAAGCAATGAACAGCATCTGTTCCATGTTTCAGATGATCTGATATAACACAATAACTTTGACTATCAAGTTTTCCATCTTTTTTAAAATACGCAACAAAGGGGTGCACAGTTGCTTGGCTGTTATTCCAGTGAAAACCTTGCGTTGCATCCTGTATTAGAAAACTATAGTTTTCTGCAAAGTCAAGAAGAACCAAAGCTTGATTTTCTTTTAAATTAGTTTTCAAATGTTGGTAGTAGGTGGCTTGACTTTTGGATATAAAATCTAACTGTTCATAAACCATTTCAATAAATTCATCTAAAGGTAGAGTTGCTGGTACTAAAGTACATTAGTAATTTGATTTTTGCCATTGATAAAAGTTAACTTCACTAATTTCATTTTCTGTAAACAAAGTGTCAATGTAGTCTAACAAAACCTTTTTAGCAGGACATTTATCGCAGCTATGCAGCATACAATCTCTATTTTCAATGCTACAAACCATTAATTTCAATAAGATTTTGTAATCAGCAATTCCAGGAATTTTCTGTACAAGGAGCTTTACATTTTGATGGTACTGGCAAACACAAACTGCACGCAGACCAGAAGCACCACCCACAGGAATGCACCACTTGGGCCTTAGCTCACAAAATTTTGAAAATCCAACTTTAAAATAATTATATTTCTTTTTAAACTCAATATGTAGCTCTTTCATATTGACTAGTAGAAGTCGCTTTTGGATATGTTGCTTTATACTATCTACTTTAACTGAAACAAACTCTTTTTTTCCTGGACAAACCCTTGAATATTCATAGCATTCATAGAAATGAACAACCTCTGTAATTACATCTTTGCTTAGTTTTGTACCCAATTTTGGAGAAGGTTTTGATAGTATTCCACTTTTTTTCCTTAATTTTCTGGCTTGTACTACAGATCTTTTTGAAGTCAAAAAAAACTTCTGAGTTTTCTCTATTGACCAACTGTCTGGAGTGAGTGTAAGTGTGATTTTTTCAGAATTTAACAATGTTTTTTCAAATTTTGACTTAATTTGAGTCTTAATATTGTCTAAATCTGTGTTTGTTTTTTTCAAACATTTTTTTGAGGGTAATTCAATTCCACTAAGTGCAGCTATTTCTAAACCTAGCACATTGGCAACAGCCATTTGTGTATGAGCTCTTATGCTATCAATTTTACGCTTTCCATATGCAACTCTATCTTTTTGAAACAAGTTTGAGAGGTGAGCATCCAAAACTTGCAATACTTGAATTAAGATCTTCTTTTAATGTATGGTTGTCAACATAAATTTCTTTTTCTTGGACTTCATTTTTTCCCATTAATTTTTTTGGTTTTTATAAATTAACACTCTTTAATTGATGCGTATAAAAAATTTTATGAAAAAAAAAAAGTGCCATCTTAGGTAACAGATGCTTTGCATCACAGATCAATTTTACAAAAATCTTGATCCGACTCATTTTGGAGACCTATAACTTTTAAATGCAGCTCTTTAATCAACAGATTTTTTTAAAAATGTTTATCCACCGCATGTAGATCAGCAGGCAGTTTGATTTGTATTAATCTTTTAAATAGTTTTCAAGATTAAGATCATTAAAATCACAAAAAAAAAATTTTAAAAACAAAAATCTCAACTTTAGCCCGCCATTATGGAAAAAGTTAAGATGCCAGAATTAAAATTTTTTTCTTTTTCCAAAGTATTTACAGCACACTTGCTATCTTCTAATAACTGAAGTATAAAACTAAATTGTTCAAAAGTTATTGGCTGTTAAGAATGATGAAAAAAACCTTTTTTCTTGTAGAGTGAAATTTTATGCAAAATAGCCTACTACTTAAATAGCGTTTTCTCAAGAACCATATTAGATATTGATCTAAAATTTTCAAAACATGCTTTTAACATATATATGTACAAAATAAAAAAATTTCAATAAAATTTGAGATGGTCCATGAGGGACCTCATTAAAATTTGCACCACTTGGCACGGAATGACCCAGTTACATATGGTATATGTATATGTATACAGTTACATATTGCATATGTATACAGTATACAGTTACATATTGTATATACAATTATTGTATAATTATACAGTTACATATTGTATATGCATGGGTTATATATAATGGATGACAATGTAAATAAGCAATGTCAGTTAATAAAAAGGTATTGGTTTTCAAAATAACAGTGTTATTCTGTTTTTTTACATTATTGAAAATTTATCTCTTTTTTCTCTTTTTATTTTAATTTTCTATTTTAATTTCTATCAGAATCTTTTTAGTAAGTTTTTTTTATCGTTTTTCTAATTTATTTTAAACCAAAATTTTTTATTTTAAAAGAAAATTCAACTTGAATTAGCAACTTAAAGTTTTCAATTTTTTTTATTAAATATTTTATTAAGATATTATAAAAAAAACTTATAAAGTTTAATATCATAAGTTTTTTCTCAAACATTTAAGTGTTCATAATTGAACAATTTATAATATTCATAATTAAATTGACAAATGTTCATAATTAATAATTATGATAATGATGATAATTAAATAATGATGATAATCTAGAATATATTACCAAAAATAAAAATATAACTTTTAAATTGTTTATAAAACATTATTTACCATAAGCCAAACATGTATTTTTTTAATTAGTGAGCCTAAAATATACAAGCTATATTACAGTTTTAGTATTTATAATTATATGGATAATTATTAATTATCCATATAATTATAAATACTAAAACTGTAATATAACTTGTATATTTTAGGCTCACTAATTAAAAAAATACATGTTTGGCTTATGGTAAATAATGTTTTATAAACAATTTAGAAGTTATATTTTTATTTTTGGTAATATATTCTAGATTATCATCATTATTATTTAAAAGTGCAAAGTTAATATGGTATATTGTAATATAACAATATGCTATATTAACTATGCACTCTGAAATTATGTATAGAAAATTTTTTGTAATTTTTTTAATAGGAAAGGTTTAACCATTTTAAATTACCTATTAATAAAATTAATATATATTTAATTGATGGTTAAAGTATCCAATAAGTATTGTCAAAAAAGTTTAGTTTAACAAAATATCTGCATCTCTTAAAATAAAGTTTAAAATTTTAACCCAAATTGGTTGGCTAATATAACTTCTTTTAATTATATTTGTGAAAATACTAAAAGCGATATAGTTTGTTTTTATTACTTCTTGATTTTTTAAAGTTATTTACACAAAACAAAGTTGTCAAATGCTTAAATATAAAAAATTATCTGCAAGCATCAAATGTTATGAAAAAGGTATTATTAGAAATACTATTTTAAATTATTTGTCTCATATTAAAAGAAAGGGAGTGTATGCTTCTCCAAATTAAGTTTCTTGAAAATGTAAACATTTAGAACTAATAAACCATACCTTTTGATTTAAAATTATTGATTATGTAAGTAAATTAAATTGATTTTTTATACTTATATATTTAGGTGTTATGTTAAGCTTCTAGATGATTCTTTATTTGCACGAGTAGTGTGTGTAGGGAGGGGGGGGGGGAAGGGGTGTGTGTAATATAGTCAATGCATTACTCTTTTCAGACTTGTTTGATTATTTACCTTGTTACAACAAGGTAAATAATCAAACAAAACCTTAACTACTAAAAAGGGGATATCTTAGAATTTCTCTCCAAAGTATACCTTCTACGGTTACCCACCATTTAATTCTAGATACATGTATGCTCTACTGTATCTATAAATAGTACTATATAAATATAAAAATTTTTACAACTTTTTATTCTTACATTTTATATAAAAATTATTTTAAGAATTTCAATATTTTTTATGAATAAAAAAATATTGAAATTCTTAAAATAATTTTTATATAGAATGTAAGAATAAAAAGTTTTATTTACACACAAATATATACATAGATGGCGAACTGCACACAAAATGCTCATGATTTTATTGTGGGATCCTTTCCTGTTTTGGTTGGTGCATTAGCAAGTGAAGATGCTGAATCACTTTGTAGGAAAAATAATCTTTCATTTATTGAGCTGATTCGTCCATTCTGTCAACTATATACTGATGGTATGTTAACATTACTTTAATTTTTTTTCTGAATATTATACTGAAGAACCAAATTAACTCCCTTGAATCAGTTATTAGCATTTTTTTTAAACACAGAACTATCTAATATATATATATATATATATATATATATATATATATATATATATATATATATATATATATATATATATATATATATATATATATATATATATATATATATATATATATATTGTGCTCACCCACACACCCGCCAATTCTACGGCTGGCCATTTTTTAAGCGCTCGCTAAAAAATTTCAAGTGTGTTTTTAAATTGCAGTTAATCTTTTTTCTAAATCAAGTTCTTATTTGAGAGGTACTAAAAGATTAAAATTGCGCATGCTAGGCAAATAATTACTGTCCAGCCAGCACTTTTTTGTTCGCTGGCAGTAAGTTTCAAAAGAACAAGATGCTTGAAAGAATGCTTAAAAATATTGAAATTTTTTTAAGGTTTCTATATTGTTATCTTTTTCATTGTCTCTCATAAACTGTCTATAAAAGGCTTTCACAGGAAGACGTGCGATTTCACGTCTTTATATGACCACGCAAATTACATTTTGCTATGACAGTTTGACCCCGGCTATTTCAAAAAACATTTTTGAAACGCGCTAAATAAAAAATATTCTGAAAAAGTGAAATTAGTTACAGCAAAACTTCTTAACAAATGTTTTTATATTAGCGAAGCGATTTTAAATAAAGTAACAATTTACTGGAAAAAAGTTTTGTTTTATAAATATAATTGACAGTTGTATATATTTTTTTAATTTAAAACATATAAATCGTTTAAGTGTTCATTTCTAAAATAAATCTTATTAAAAAATAAAAAATTGTTTTGTTTTTATAAACGATGACATTCTACGACTACTAAAGTCTCTATAACAAATTTAAATATAAGAATGGTTAAAGTTAATGCATTTAAAAAGATAAATAAAGTTTCGTTAACAAAAAAAGTTTTAGAAAACTGTTACAATTTAATAAGTTTAATCTTAAATGCTTTTATATTATCGAAACGCTTTTGATGGAGTAAAAAAAAAACGCTTCTAATTAATTTAAAAAAAGGTATTAATAAAATATTTTTTTATTTTACTTATATAACTATGTATTTCTTATGAGAAATATTTAAATTTTGAACATATTAAATAAATAAAAAATATATAAAAATGTTGAAACAAAGATGAAAAGGTTTTTTAATGCGTAAATTAAAAAGACTAAGCATTTTAGTTTGATGAGTTTTGTTTTAGTTGCGTTATATATATGTATTTATTTTATTGTATTTTTGCTTCAACTAAGTATTTATTTTTATTTTCTCTTTCGTTAATATTTATTATTTTAAAAAATTTTTTTTTCAGATAAGTTTAGGTAAGTTTTTGTAGCGCGTTTTTAAATAAAAAAAAAATGCCGTGGTCAAATCGTTAAAACATTTTTTTTTTGCATAGTCATATAAAGACATGAAATCACGTCTTTCTGTGAAAGCCTGTATAATGAACTGCTTTCTAACTAACTGTCTCTAAAAAATTTTTTTTCTTATAAACTGTCTCATAACTTTTTATTTTAGTGCCAAACAAATATACAATTTTAGTTCCAAATAGTAGTTACAATTTCTGTTTTAGGTTATTAGGTATAAATTAGGGACAAATAATTTATGTAGTTTGCTGTATTTACATAACATAATGTATTGAATAATGTTATATATATTTTTAATTTAATTCACTCCCAGGCTCCATACAAATACTATTTAAATTAAGAGTTATCAAAAAACAAACAATAATGTTAAAGAGCAACAAAAAACTAGACAGAAGGCTTTGTTTGTAAATCTTGCGTAGAAGGAAAAGGATATTATTAATATCACCAGCTTAAATATGCAACAGGGTCATCTAAACTCAATTAAATTTATTCTTAACATCAATAGATTTTGATTTTTGGTAGTCAAGCTTTAATAGGTGGAAAAAAAAATTCTAAATTTTAATTTCAATTTTTTTACAGGTTCAAAGTAGGCTTAATCAGAAAGGTGTGCAATTTTACTCCATAATATGACCACACAGATAATACATAATAATTTTGACTATTTGACCATGTTTTTAAAAAAATGCGTAAAAATAAATGGTTTTTAATGTTATAATTAAATAACTTCAACACATTTATCTTTACTAACATTTTTATATCAGCAAAATGCTTTTAAATGTGGTAAATATAATTTATGTATCAATCATAAATATATATTTTTTTATTGAGCTTGGTATTTTTATTTGTTTTTTTACCCTTTAAAAAAAGGCATTTATCTACATAAACATTATTTGCAAAAGGAAAAACCTAAATATAGCATTTTTAACTTGAGTATTTGAGCTTTTTTGTTTGACATCATTTACTAACTACAAAAGCATTAATCACACCAACAAAAAAAAAAAAACAGAGCCTGAGTTTACCTTCGATATAAAACTCAGCTCTTATTGATTAATTTAATTATTTTGAATACTTCACCAGAAAAAAAAATATTTTCAAGCACATGAGCAGGCCTTGTTTTAAAGCGTTACGCCTAGAGCGATTTACGTACGCCTTAAGCAATTTTTACGTACGCGTAGAGCTGTTTTGGTTAAGCTACTTTTTATCATTTTTTAACTTTTAAATTAGCGGTAACATAAAAGAAGTAATTAATTTTTAAAAAAACCACATTAACTTTTGAATAACGATATGTAAAAATATTTATTAGAAAAAAAAATTACGTTAAAAATAATTAAAGTAACTTTTTATCGCAACATATCATATGTTTTTATAACATTTAATTTTACGCTTAACTTTTTATTCAAATATTTAGTATCATGAAAAATTGTTCGTCAATCCTTAACTACACATTTTTTGCAAATGTTTTTAATAAAAAGTAGTAACTTTTTAAAGTTTTTAGTAAAAAACATTTAAAAAATCTATATTTCAAACTTATTAATACAGAATATAAATGTTTCTTGTAATATAAATTTTTTAAGAGTTTTTTACTAAATTCATATTAAAAAACATTTGCAAAAAATTTGTAATTAAGGGTTGACATTTTTTTAATATATCAAAAAACGTCTTAATATTTTTGTTATCATGATAACAAAAATATCAAGACATTTTTTCAAGATATTTAAAAAAAATGTGCCAATGAATGAACAATCTATTTGTATTTTTCTAAAAATTACTTCATTAATTATTACTCTTTGCTTTTCTTATTAGTTAAAGGTATATAGATACCTTTGCTTTTAAGTTAAGCGGGGGGAGGGGGCCAGCACAGAAAAAAAAAATTACCTGTTACTCGCAATTTTTGAATGAAGACAATTTGTTAAATTTTTTCTGCGTGCGATTCAATAAATTTTTTTCATAAATCAAGTTATATTATAAGGTAAAGAAATCACGAGAAGACTATAACATCCGCTGATGACACTAATATTACGTTGAATATATTTATATAATGAAGGTTTCATTATGCACGCTCACATTACAGATTCCGTTAAATAAATACTAAGGCACGTTTTATTTTAATGACAGTCTCTATTTTTTATTAATGAATATGTATTTTTCTTTATAAAACAAGACAAACTAGTATATAAAAACATTTTATATTTCTATTCTCTCTAAATTGTTTAAAGTTCGAATATGGATTGTATTTTGAAGGAAAAAAGATTTCCTTTAAAAACTTTTAAATATTGGGACTTTGCCGATGCTTTGCTGATGCGATGATCACAGAAAAAGAGAAGACTTACGTTATTAAAATCAAATGTAAGTTATGTGATCTTCATCAAAATAAAATATAATCCTAAAACAATTGTGCCGTTAGGGCAGCTGCCCTACGGTCTATAAATAACAAGTCATGTTAAAATATTTTAACATGTTACTATATTTAATTTAAGTTGATATATAAATAAAAATAAAAATATAGTTTAATAAATAAATTAAATTTGTTCTTAACACAGATTACCTCATATTTATTCTTTTTTTATTTTATTAAGTTAAATTGCTTACAAACGAAGAAAAAAAAAAATTTTTTTTTTTTTTTGTAATTATACGTAGAATGAAAATACTTTTGAGTTTGTTTATAAGTTAAGGAACTTAATTTTTAATAAACAAATTTTTACGAACGTTTGTTATAAACAGATATGATTGAAATTATTAAATATACTTATATTATTTTAGTTGAGTATTTTTTTAAGTTTGCACAATTAAAGTTTTGCGGAGAAGTATTTGTTTTTTGTTTTAAGAATAATTAACAAAAGAGTTTGCATAATTAAGACTTTTATATTTAATTAAGTTTTTTTTTAATTTCCTAAAATTTAAAAAAAAAGATTTAATCGTTAAAAACGATATTTCTCTATAGCTCTGTTTCTTTGTGACTTGTTGAAAATGTAAAACATTTTTACAATAACATAAAAAATTTATGAATTAAATTCCTGGCGAACGCATTCTAAACTATGTATCAAAAATATGCTAAAAGCAGACAAAACGTTTTTATATTTTTATATAACGCAAGTTGAAACGCTAAGCAAGATAAATTTAAAAAAATATTCTTTCCTAAATTATTCTTTGCTAGTCAAAACAAAATCGCTGTTTAAATAATTAACATAGGTTTTTGTTTATCAATGTTAATATTTTTTGTTTACTCCAGAAATTTTTAAAAATAAAAAAAAATCACTATTTTTTATTCAATAACAATTTATAAACAATAATTATTCAAAAACTAATTTCGAAATAATTAAAATATATACATATATATTTTTTACTAAATAATATTGAACTAAAATTAATAATAAGATAACAAACTTTTTATTATAAATTTACATTTAAAACGTTTATAGTTATTTGAGTTAGTTGTTAAATTGAACTAGTTAGCGATTATTTATTTATTGCGGTAGTTAAAACACTTAACGTCTATAAAAAAAAATAAAGATAATTTTATGACGTCAAATATCGCGTTAAGCTAATGCATTAAGCACTTTTTTATTTAAAACAA